AAATCCAAGTCTGGGGTGTACAACACAAGAACTCAGCAATGAGGTGTTCCTCAACATAGCCTGTTGTCTTCTCTTTACCTTCCAGTGTCTTGTGTCTGTTTCAGGTATAATATCCAAGGATTTTACTTGTACTGAGCAGGAGTAGGGAAATGTGCCTGCTCCATCCTCCCAGAAATAGAAGCCCTTATTGCTTTTGTTCTAGACCATTCTCACACACCAGGCTGTCACGTTATGAATCCAGGAGCCATGCTTCATTCCCTGCTATATCTCAACACCTTGAACAGTGCCTGGCACATAGTAGTTGTTCATTAATGAATGAATGCAGATACAAAATAAATTTAGATTACTAAATTGAAAAAAAAAAAACAGCACTCTATCACTATGGCTGGAAGGGTCAGGCTGCGCCCATGAGCCTTTCTCTTCCTTCCTCTCATCCTCTAGCTCCCAGGGCTCCCATGCAGGCACAGTTTTAAAACTCTGGCATTGGAGCACCTGCTAGTGTTTGCAGCATGACTCTCGAGCTGGTGCAATGGATATGTGGGTGGCTGGCCTGGTTTTCAGGACCGAGAACAGAGTGGACACTAGGGAAGACAGGGGAGGATGGTGACAGGGGAGGAGTGGTTGTCAACCTACTCTACCTCTGGGAGTTCTGCAGAGGCAGGGGTAGAGGAAGGCTGGGGACATATTGGGAGATACACGGACACCTTACAATCTGCTCCAGGTCAGTGGGAAGACTGTCACTGACCATGGGCTGCCCCCAGCTACTGCAGGCCAGAGGGACACCAGCCCACTGCTAGGGACAGAGCAGGGCACAAATGCCCGATCCAGGCCAGCTTCAGAGCTCAGCAGCCCAACAGCCCTGAGAACTTAATGTCTGTCAGCTCGGGGGCTCTGTTGCTTTCTTCATGGGCCCCTTGGGCTGCCACATCCCTTCCCTTGCTCCAGTTATAGAGAAAAGGAGGCCAGAGCCACCTGCCTCCAGAGACATGAGCAAGAGCAAGCATCCTGCTGACCACACAGCCTCTTGCCAGTAATGCCAGGAGTCCTCCCAGGGGTCTTGGGAGCCCAGGCTCTTCCAGAGCTGCCCTCAAGGAACTGTCCCATTGCAATGCCAGTTGGGCCTGCAGATGGAGCGGGGCAGCCCAGAGTCCCCAGTCATGGAGACTGAGTTACAGGGGCAGCAATGTGGCCCTAAATCCCACAGAGAGAGAACCAGGGTCAGAGAGGCACTGCCTGGGCCGATGGGGGAGCCTCCTGGGACCCAGCCCAACTCGCTGCTCTTGCTATGGATGCTGGACCAAAATGCCTAGCATCTCTGGACCTTGTGGCTCTTACCATCCACAACTCCATGGTGTCCCACTACCCTCAGTCTGCAGTGATGTTTTGGGGCAGGGTTTTATAGGTGTTGGGGAACAAGCACTGGTTTCCACTCCTGCTTAGGGTTAGATGTAAAACACAAGCAGCAGGTGTCTGTCTAGGGTTCGCTTTCCAGTCTCGCAGTCACCAGGCCCCATCCAGGTAGGGTCGGGCGGCGACCAAAGAAGGAAAGTGTGGGTGAGCACCAGGGAGTGGGTGGTGGGACTGGGTATCTGGACCACACACGCCCATGGGAAGGGGCAGTCAGGCCACGTGGCTGCCTGTGCTCATGCACGTGGCTACTTAGGCACGGGCAGAGCCAGAGTGAGGAACAGCACAAGGGCTTCCCAAAGAGGGCATTCAGAGCCCTGGGCATCTGGGTGATGTGAAAGTGGCCCAAAGCTGAGTCATCCTTTAGAACCACAGCTGCTAATCAGGCACTTTGAGAGCCTGGCCTCCCGTGGCCCTTACTGTAGCCCTGAGACACAACACGCCTCGATGTTGTTCCTACCCTGAGGTGACAGGGCTGGGGCTTGCAGGCCTTGGGCACAGGCCTGGAGCAGCTGCCACTTGTGGGGCACATACTCTGTGTTCTTTCACCCCCCTGGGGTAATTGCTCCCCAAAGGTGGCCCAGGATGCGGCCCTTCTGCCTGGGGCTCACGCTTGCCCCTGAACCTGGTGCACCACGGTGACCACAGAATGTGGCAGGGTGGTGCCCTGGGCACTCTGTACCTTACTCCCACAGCACCCCCTGCTGCACCTCTTGGCAACCTTGGGCCCTCAGGCCGCTGGTCCCAGGGACCAGCTCCATGCTGGGGCAGCCACCTCTGCGCCCACCAGGGCACAGCCCTCCACTCCAGCCCCGCCAGCGAGGCCTGCAGCTTATGAAGCCCCTCACTGAGGACCAAAGCCCACCCAACTGGCAGACAGTAACGGGCACATTGCACTGTGAGCCACTACACTGGGGGATGCAGGAGAGAGCTAGGTCTACTCGTGAGCGCCCTTCGAGGTGAAGATGGACCACCCCATTTCATATCCGGGAGTGCTGGGGCACAGAGTGATAAGTGGCCTGGCCACATTCACAGCTGGCGAGGGCCAGAGCCGGTCCCCAAGTCCCTTTCACACTCTTCTCAGCCCCGTGCCTTGGGCTCCCAGTGACACGTCCTTCATAGAAACTGAAGCTTCTCTGGCTGGGACGAAGCTGCAAGTGGGCACCTTTCCGCTCAGAGTCATTCTCCTCTCCGGGGCCAGGGTTGTGGCAGGCGGCCTCATACACTAATGTGAGCCGAGGTGTGGCATGGCCCCCCGAGGCCCCCAGGCTGATGATCTCAGGGCCTCTGCAGCAGGGAGAATGGCCTGGGTCTCCTAGGGCCCCAGCCCAGGCAGGTGGCTCGGGGTTCTTGGGGAGGAGGCCTGTGGGTGCTGCCAGCAGGTTCTGCTGGGACTCAGCCCGAGGGGTTGGGGGGCGGCAGATCACACTTCTGCCACTCACAGCTGTCTGACCTGAGTTTCCTTACGCAACACTAGACCACTGTTCGTGTTCCATCTCCCACCGGTAGCAGCGAAGCAAGAAGGGCCAGAGCCAGGTGTGGTGGCCTGCACCTGTCATCCCAGCACTTTAGGAGGCCGAGGCACAAGGATCTGAAGTTTCAGTCCAGCCTGTGCAACTTAGCAACTCAGTGAGACTCTGTCTCAAAACAGGAAATGTAAAAATGGGACTGCGGCTGTAGCTCATTGTGAAGACCCTGGGCTCAATCTCCAGTATCACAAAAGAGAAATAAAGCTGGTGCTTACGGAGCAGTCACTACCCGTGGGACATGGGGCTCCGCACACCCGTGAGTCGTCTCGTTGCCCATCGTCCCAGATCCACTGAGAACACTGTATCGAACCAGACTGCCTGGGTTCGAGTCCCCCTCCGCCCCGTGTGCTGGATCCCCTCAGGTAGGCTCCTGGAGTTCTCTGCTCTGTAAAGGACCCACCTCATAGCTCTACAGTGACCATGGCATGTAAGGGTCAGCGCACACGCAGTCAACGATCAAAACGTGAGTTCCCTTCGTGGGTGACCTCCTCCAGGTCAGGCTGACTGCCTTCCAAGCCACAGGCTTGCAGGGACTCCTCCGGGGTAGCAGAGTGGGGTCAGGGCCTGGGCCGGCTCCTGGGACTGTGCCACTTGGAAGGATGGGCTGGCGGTGCCAGGTCAGGGTCCCTCTGTGGGTGGGAGGGGCAGAGCCGAGCCTGAGACAAGAATCCAGAGGTCCAAGCACTGATCCCCTCCCACCATGGGACAAGGCTGTCACAGTCTGGCCATGTTCCTGGAAGAGTAGCTGTGCCGGGGCAGTGCCCGGTGAACCAGGTCCCTGGCCACGGCCCAGACCCAGACAGCCCATGCAGTGGCCACCGCGGTCTTCTCAGTGTGCTGTTTCTCACCTGCTAATAGCAACGGTGCCACCACCGGGGACCATTCCTCCTCTCCCTGCCGAGGGCTTGGCCCTGCTGACGCAGGCCCTAAATTACTGACTTAGGGATCACAGCCAGGACTTTTGCTGGAAATACTGGAAAGAAAGCCCATCTGTCTGGTTTTGCTCCTTTGGTAAGCTCCAAGCCCAGAACGGCTCATGATGACCATCTGCATTACCCCTCCGGGAACAGCTGCTTGAGAATGAAAGCAACAGAGAGGAAACAGAGGCAGGCAAGAGGGAGAGAACAGCTGAGTTCCAAATGAAATCAGCTGGATCCAGCTATTCCTGAAGCACACATGGCTGCTCGCCTTCCATCCTTTCCACCCGCTCCCCATTTGAGAGCTTTGACTCATTCCTAGCTCCAGGAGAGGGCATAGCTGGGCTGAGGCAACATCACCAGCTGCAGTGAGGATGAAGGGGAATGAAAAGGACGGACCTACACCCATCAGAGAAACCCTTTCCCCTCCAGTGCCTTCCCTGGGCCTCCATCACAGGCCTCAGGAGAAGCCTCCTCACCATCAAGAGGGAAGCAGGGGCCTGCGAGGGACGGGGCCAGACCCACAGCGGAGGAGAATCAGCACCCAGAGTCCCTGCGCTTCCAGGACCATGAGCCAGGTGGCCCCATCGTGTGGCCTGACAGCGGCTGGGGTTCTGTGTTCCCATCCAGAGCTCCTGGCTGGGCCCAATGGGCTTTCGGTCATACACCAAATAAGCACCCATTCACTGGAGCACGGAGCCGGCGACTCCCACACAGCACCCGGCTTTTCTGCCTCGCCTGTGCGCACAGTGCCCTCCCTGCGGGGCCCTCCAGCCCCCTCTCCACCTTCCGGAGTGGGGTCGGCTTTGTCACACCTGCTCAGCGCCGTCACCACGGCGTGACAGCTGCTGTAGATAACGCACAAACAATGAGTGGGGCTGCGCTCCAAGAAAACTTCATTTATTATGGACAATGAAATTTGAATTTCATGTAATTTTCACATGGCACAAAATGCTATCCTGCTTTGGATTTGTTTCCAAGCGTTTGAAACTGTAAAACTTACCATCTTAAGGGCAGAAGCCAGATAAAGTTTGTGGGCTCTACTTTGCCAACTCCACTGTAGGGCCCCTAGGGGCCTGGGACAAAGAGGCACCCTGCCATCCCGGGGCTCTGAAAGTGCTCTCAGCCTGAGCGAGGCAGCACTTACCAGAAGGACCACCCGTAGTCCCAGGAATGGGGTCGCCAGTCTTCGGGGCCGAGGCTCACAGTGACCTGGAACACCTGGGTGTACATCATGTGGGCGACCATGCCCAGGAGGCCTGCGGACAAAACAGAAGGCATGAGGAGAGCAGGGCCCAGCCCACCCCAGGGGTGCCTGATGGGGACCCGAGGAAGGCGGGTCACTGGGGATAGGACACTGTGGGCCAGCGGGTGGGTTCTAAACGGGACAAGGAGCCTGGGAGAAATGAAAGCAGAGGAGGCACAGTCAGATCAGTGTACAGATCTGTAAAGGCCAGGCAAGTAAAACATTCTAGAGTCTGTGCGCTGTGCAGCCCTGCCAAGGTAGCACGAAGGGACAGAGGCCATACATAAATGGTTGTATGCAGCTGTGTCTTAATAAAACTTTATTTACAACAATAGGCAAGGGGCCAGACTTAGCCCATAGTCGTGGCTGGCTGATACCTGTGTTAGAAGACAATTCGGGGAAACAACCTAGAGAGTGTTTTTCATACTATGGGTCTTGACTCACTAGACCAGTGGGTCATGAAATTAACATCCTAGATTTTGAATGAAGCCAGTGTGTTGACAGCGAGAGAGAGAGAGAGAGAGAGAGAGAGAGAGAGAGAGAGAGAGAGAAAATGAATATGAATGTGTGGTACCATCAAATGTAGCAGGGGTGAAAAAAATGAATAAGTGTGTGGTACCATCAAATGTAGCAGGGGTGAACATTACTGTGTGAATTTTCCAGTTTCATGCCTCTGCGTGTGTGTGTGCGCACGTGCACATGTGCAGCACACTGGCTTGGAGAACTTTGATCTCCTGTGTGGCTCTGGACAAGGGACCTCGCCCGTCTGAGCCTCTAGTCCTTCTGCGCTCCCGCTCTGAAGACGAGGGTGGTGGCGAGCGCTGGGAGTGCTCAGTGACTGCGGGTAAGGCTGCTGTGAGCGTTGTGTGGAGCGGGCGCGAGTTACACCTGCAGCCAGGACGAACACGAACCAGGCACGCTCCTCTGCACCACTGTGGCATCACAGCCCTCCCGGGCACCACGGCGTGTGCCTAGCTGGCGTGGCCTCGACCTCCGGAAGCAGTGATACAATACGGCCGAGGAGGAGGAGGGTACAGGACAGGAAGGAGGAGGAAGCTGACAGAGCTTGTGCGTACACATTTACACCAGCTGGTCACCCTTCGCCTTCCCTGCACCCTTAATACGTCTAACAGTCACAGAAACGGGCACGATAACCGGGGCAGCCGTCGTCTGTGCACCGCTCCCCGAGACCGCGGCCCACACTGCAGGCCCTGACTGTGGTTATTCCCCTTTCACACGGGAGAACACGGGAGCCAAGAGAGGCAGCCTCTGTGTAAGGTCACACGGGTGAGCGCAGCTCCGTCGTCTTCAAATCCAGGTTCTCCTCAAGCAAGCGCCTCTCCCTTCCCTCCCTGCGCCCCGCCTTCTCCCACTCCTGAGGCAGACAGGAGAGGATGGAGAAGAGCGGCAGAAGTGGGAAAGAGCGACCCGAAGAGGAAACGAGGCCGAGCCTGGGGCCGAGCCCAGGGAAGACATCCTGCGCTTCAGTGGTGGGGAGCTGCCCGGTCACCCTGAACTAAAAGGAAAGAGAGGCGGTGAAGCCCTAACGCATTCCTTTGCCTGTTCTGCACCCCATTCCAATCCTGTGAGCCCAGTTCACAAGGACAGGATTCCAGTGTGGTCCGGGTCCCTGGCCAGGGTCAGCCTCCCAAGGATACCCGTCACTGCTTTCCCTCCAAAGTGGAAGGCGGCTCTTCAGGGCTGGGGAGTTCTTGGCCAGGAAATCAGCAGGGAGGGCAAGTGACAGTTACAGGTGCTGGGGTCCCCCAGGAACCCCCGCAAGTACTCACCCCAATTCTCACCTGCACGTTATAAAGCATCAAGCACGCCACCAGTGCGTGGTGAAATTGACACTCCAACGCGGTTTTATATTTGCCATATTACTAGTGAGCTTGGGCATTTTCCACACTTTTATTAACCATCTTCATTTCATCTTCTAGGAATGTGCCTGCCCGTATCTTTTATCAGTTTTCTTTGTGCATATTTTCAAAAATCTATTTCTTGGGCCTAGGAATGTAGCTCAGTGGCAGTGTGCCTGCCTCAAAAGCGCAAGGTCCCGAGTTCAATCCCTGGTACTGGGAAAAAAAAAATCTATTTCTTTTATCAGTTGATAGGGATTCCGGTTACTAATCCTGCCTGTGACATAGATGACAAACAGTTTACTGTTTGTCTTTTCCCCTGTGTACCAGTTTTTAAATGAATAAACCTGACATCTTTAGAGCAGCTGTATGTTTAGGGAAACAGTGAGCGGAAAGTAAAGTTCCCGTCAGCCCTGCCCAGCGCCCACAGTGGCCCCGTCGTCACACCTCGCATTCCTACGGCACATCTGTCACAGTGGAGGGGCCGTTCCCACGCACCCACACTTTACAGCAAGGCTCCTTTGCGCTGTGCGTTCTATGGGCTTTGACAAATGTACAGCGGCGTGGCTGCCACCACCGTACACTTCAGAACGGAGTATTTCGCGCTGAAAGTCCCCTATGCATCCCTCTCTCCCTGCACTCCTCCCAAGTGCCTGGCAACCACTGATCATTTCACTACCTCCACGGCTGAGCCTTTCCCTGAATGTCACGTAGCTGGAGCCATACTGCACGCGGCCCCTTCAGAATGGCTTTTTGTGGCGAGCAAGATGCATGTAAGGGTCTTTCCATGGCTAGATAGCTGATTTCCTTTTGTCACTGAATAATATTCCATGGCTGGATGTTCCATAGCTGTGTATGATTTTTTTTTTATACCAGGGATCAAACTCAGGTCCTTGTGCTTTCGAGGTAGGCAGTGGAACCACTGGGCCAGATCCCTAGCCCTACTGTGTATGATTTTTTTAAATGCTTCACCTACCAAAGGACATCTTGGTTTCTTCCAAGCTTGGGCAATTAAGAATAATGTTGCTTTTGTCATGTTTTTATGTTATACAGACACATTATCAGTTTGTCCTTTTTAGTTTTTGTTTCCTCTGTCCACTTTAAGAAAACCAACCGCACTAGCATGTTCTCCTATGCTTTTCTTGACACACCCACAGGTGTCTGTGTTGCTCCACCTGGGATTTATCTTGATGAATGGTGTGACACAGGATCTAACTGAATTCTTTCCATGACTGGGTAATTGCTTTGAACTCTTTACTGCCCATTCTTTTACAGAGAGGGAGAGAGAGGATCCTAAGTCAGGCTGGGCTCAAATTTGTGATCCTTTTGCCTCAGCCTCTCAGGGTGGTGGGATTACAGCCACTGCTACCACACCCAGCTTCCCCACTGACTTTAAAGGAGTCCTTGTGCAGTTGAGTGTCGCTAACCAAAAACACCCAAAAGGGTCCCCAATCTGAAACCTGGGAGCATTGATATAATGTCACGAACGGAAAGCTCCACACCCGGTCTCGGCTGCTCAGTCACAATCTAGACGCAGGTGAATTAAAAGTGTAGCACCAAGTTACTTTTGGGCTACGGGTAAAAGGTACAAACATACCAAAATTAATTTCATCTTTAGCCTTGGGTGCACTATAATCCCAAACCCGAAGAAATCCCAAATCCAAAACATTTCTGGCCCCAAGCATTTCAGGTGAAAGAAGTGCTTCCGGTCCCAGGCCCTGGACACGTAGAACTGTTATTCTGTCTCCTAACCTGCCGTCCACCCCACTGAGGGCTCCCTGGTGAGTCAGGGCCATGCTGGTTCATCTCTGGGCCTGGGAGTCGGGCTGTCCCGTTATCCTCAGCCAGCCTCGCTCCCTCTGGAACTGCGGCCCTCACAGAGGCCACATCCCCTCGGGCAGGGCAGCAGCCCCTCTTCAGTCTCTGCCAGGCCTCGCTCCATCCACGTCTTCCTCACTGCCCCGTCCCGGTGTTTTCCAGGGGTGGCTGACCTCTCCTGCCCTGGTTTCCCGGGCCATGCGAGGGGCACAGCAGGCAGGGAACTCAGAGCCTCCCCTACATAGGGGGGAAGAGGCCCATTCCTGAGGACGGGCCTGCCTTGCGCTGGGACGGGGAGGGAAATGACACATCTTACATCAAAACCTCCCCGCTGCGCCTAGAAGCTACACCCGAGGCAGGCAGATTAATTAATTTTCCGAAGTCTTCGTTTAGAAAAGCATTGATTCCTCAATTGAATCCATTTATCCCTAAATAGGAAAGGTCATGCTTTAAGAAAACTCAATAAATGAGTTCACCCACAGACGCCTTGCTGGGACTCTGGTGGGATTTTAAGGATTCTGCTCAGACGTCAGACCCTTGATCCTGTTCCTAGAAGCACTCGTTCTATAGCAGTGTCGCAGTAGGATCTGTCCGAGAATCCTTAGCAGAAGGGGTGTTTCCAGCTCATCAGAATTAGCAAATGGCTTTCCGCTGAGTTACTGCGCCTCCTAAATCAGCGGTGACTCCATGAATGACTTTCCTGCTGCTGCGGCTGCCTCCTGGCATGGCCTCAGCCAGGATGCTCACATCAAGGGGCCTCTTGGTTGGGGTTCCGGAAGCTCCCAGCTCAGAGGCTCTGGGGGGTGGACACGGCCCCTCCCCACCTCCAGAGGGCCCTGCAGAACCCTGGGGGCCAAGGGGCCAGTGCTGGGCTGGCACGGTGACACCCTGAGCCCAGAACGGGAACATCGCCCTGGCCCTCAAAGGTCGGACTGACGGAGCCATTCGGTGTTCAAGGACAGGGGCCTGGCTGGGGCTCCAACCAAGAGACATGCGGAGAGCAGAGGTGAGGCCAGGGGAGCAGGTGAAGTCAGTCTGGAAGCGAGCCCGGCTGTCAGCCCTGTGGACCCTGAGCAGAGTGCCTTCCTGTGCCTCCGTTTCCTCACCTATACAGGGGGTAATAACAGCACCTACCTTATAGATTTGTATGGAGATCGAGTGGCTTAGATTTGTACAGCACTTAAATAACACTTGGCACATAGTAAGCCCTGTCTAAGCCCTGAATGAAAGAAAGAGTGGACACAAGCCCGAGACTCACTGCAGTGGTTTCTAGTCCCTAGCCCAGCGCCTGATACACAGCAGAAACTGATGTGGGCTGCTGAAGGGATAAATGACC